CATTGGCCCCCCTCTCTCTCCACTTCCGGTACCCTTTCGAATTCCCGCCCATCCGGGGAGCGCTCGGTGGGTTAGGTCGCAGGATCCCGGGAGCCGCGCGCCGCGCCCAGCCCCGCCGCCACCGCGCGCCGAAGCCCCCCACCCCACCCTTTAAGGATGCATCACCTAGCGCCGCTGTCACCGGCGCCGTCACAGGCACCCAGCGCCTCACCTGGCGCCTGCCCCGGCGCCCCCCTCTCTCTCCCTCTCCCGCACCTGCCAGCAAGCTCCCGGGGGCCGCAGGTGCGGACGACCGCGGAATTCCACGCCCCGAGGACGCCCACCAGCTCGAGGGAGAGGAGGGGGAGGCGCGGCCTGGTTGGGGCTCCTACGCAGAGATCCCAGGTGCGGTGCCGCGGGCCAGGCCTGGCTCGGAAGGGGTCCCGGGGGCCTGGAGACCCGGCCTGGGCGCCCGCGGGGAGGCGGGGAGAGGGGCTGGGGGCCCAGAATCCTTTTCTTTTTTGGGGGAGGGGTCCCCACGTAGGCTGCACCACCGAATCTCCACCGGTCTGCATAGATTCTTGTCTGGAAACCGCCAAGTCTTTGGGTCAGCTTTGGATTGTTGATGGTTCTTCCTCATTTGCAGAGAGACCACGGGGGTGGTTAAAAGAAACAAACATCGGCTTCCTAGTTATGGTTACAGAAATGAGTTTCCAGCGATGTCTGCCAAGTTCTGGACCCCACGGGCCAGCCAGGAAGTGTTCAGAACCTTAAAAGCATCTTCCACGTGGCGGATTTGTTTTCGGTGGAAATTCACGTCCCTAGATTTTGATTGGGTGACTATTTCTTACTAGTAGTGGGACCGCCTGGCCCACAGCCTTTCCCGTGAGAAAAGGAAGCTTCTGGGTTCTCGGCATTAACTGGTTTGAGCCGTTTGGCGATTGGAAATGGATCTCTTGTCTTGCGTGACAAAAATTGATATGCTGTGGACAGTTTCCCATGATACTGTTTCCCAAAACCAAATGTGCGCTGCTTCTTTTCCAGATTGTGCCTGTGTAGGCAAGCATGGAGGTGATTCACGGCACCCCCTACTGTTGCAGGGAGCTTGAAGGATCTGACATCCTGTCAGACACCTTGTACTCAGATGAAGTGCACACTCCCCTAGAAAAAAATGTTCGTCCAACCGCTTCGGAGGACAGGTAACACAAAAACTAGAAAAAGTACATTTAAGGGCTGGGAAAGTGGCTCAGGGGTAGAGTGCTTGCTTTGTATGCGTGAGGCTCTGGATTCGATTCCTCAGCACCACATAAACAGAAAAGGCAGGAAGTGGCACTCTGGCTCAAGTGGTAGAGCACTAGCCTTGAGCTGAAGAACTGAGGGATAGTGCCCAGGCCTAGAGTTCAAACACCACGACCCACAAAAAGTGCATTTAAAAGAGGGTTTTAGCCAGGCTCCAGTGGCTCAGGCCTATTATCCTAGCTACTTGGGAAGCTAAGATCTGAGAATTGAGGTTCAAAGCCAGCCTGGGCGGAAAAATGCATGACTCTCCAATTAGCCACCAAAAAGCTAAAAATGGAGCTGTGGCTCAAATGGTAGAGCATGAGCAAAACAGTTCAGGGATAGGGCCTAGGCCCTGAGTTCAAGCCCCAGGATCTCCTCTCCCCGCCCCCATCCCCAAGGGTTTACTAGCCTGTGGCTGTAATCCAATATACTCAGGAGGCTGAGATCTGAGGATCAAGGTTTGAAGCCAGTTCAGAAAGAAAAGCTAGGGCTGGGAAGGTGGCTCAAGTGGTAGAGCGCATGCCTTGCATGCCTGAGGCCCTGAGTTCGATTCCTCAGCACCACATAAGCACAAAGAAAAAAGCCGGAAGTGGCACTGTGACTCAAGTGGTAGAGCCCTAGCCTTGAGCTGAAGAGTTAAGGGACAGACAGCACCCAGCCCAGAGTCAGAGTTCAGGCCCCACGACCGAACCAAAAAAAAAAAAAAACCAGAAAGAAAAGCTCGTGAGACTCTTCATTTAACCAGCAGAAAACCAGAAGTGGTTGCATGCCAGGCTTGAGCAGAAAAAGTGTGAAGCCCTGAGTTCAGGTCCCAGTACTAGAAAAAGGAAGTTTTATTACTGTAATTTTTAAATGTACTCTATTGTATTCATTGTTCTAAGGCTCTTCTCATAGGAAAGGCAGAACAAAAAAAAAAAAAATCATGACAAACCTTGTATTTTCCACATCTATTAAGCCTCCCAGAATCTAGAATGATCACTTCCTAACTTTGCAAATTAATCTATTTTCATAGTTTTTTTTTATTTAATGAAGTGTGTTGTGGTGGTTTCCTATCATCCCCTAACACCATCAAAATACCCATAATCTGTTACTCATATTTAAAATTTTTGCTTAACTAAATTTCCTGTGACACATGTATTTATTATGACTAAAATCATGTCTAACCCGTGACAACCATGTGATAACTCTTTTAATCTTCATGACAATCATATGAGAATTACTATTTCCCCATGTAACATAGGAAGTATCAGATACACCTAATTTGTAATGTCATCTTTTTCTGTATATGGTTTACTTGAATTATTGGATGAGACATCAAAATGCTTAGTAAAAAAAATTGTGTTCTTGTTTTATTGTTTTTCACTTTCATCTCTTTTATTTAAGAATTCTTTTTAATGCTGGGCTCCTGTGGATCATGCCTATACTCTTAGCTAATCTGGAAGCTAAGAGCTGAGGATTGCACTCCAAAGTCAGCACTGGCAGGAAAATCCATGAGATTCTTATCTCCAATTATTCACCAAAAGGCCAGAAATAGAGTTGTAGCTTAAGTGGTAGAACATTAGCCTTGAGCAAAATATAGCCCTTGGACAGCACCCAGGCCCAGAGTTAAATCCTCAGAACTGACACCTAAAAAATATTTTTGAGAAATCAGACAAGAGGCCACTTGCTTTCAAAATGAGGCTTTACTACCACATGGTCTACTCCTTCTCCCCCCCCACCCCCAAACTCACTTCTGGTGAGTCAGCATTTTATGACACAGGAATAGTTCAGTCAACCACTTGGGAGATAGGAATATTCTAGAAGTCAGTCCTATTCTTAGATGGCCATCAATTCCAGTAACATAGAAATAACAGAATATCACACAAAAAAAATACTTGCTGGACAAACTAGGGATATTTGAAAAATACATGTTAGTAAACACACAAACATTTAAGAATATCAAGAACAACACATGGAACTTTGCCTTGCTTAATTTAACTGTTCCCACATAAGGCAGTGGCAGCTGTAGAAATGATGGAGGTTTTAATATTTTCATATAGCTTCAAAAGTTTAGTTAGGGAAATATCCAACTCTTCCAATCTAGGAAGAGCAATCCCCAGCTTACTACACTATGAAACAAAAAAGTTCACAAACTTTTTTGAGTTCTAATTTGGACATGTTTCTATCCTCATCTTCTGAACCCATTGTAGTTGCCCTGCAATGTTCTACTCCAGTCCTAATTTTCATCTTTACTGATAAGAAAGATGTCCTTAAGTCTTCATTTATTTATTTATTTATTTATTTAGTGGGTTGTGGGGCCTGAACTCTGGGCCTGGGCACCATCCTTCAGCTCTTCAGCTCAAGGCTAGCACTCTACCCCTTGAGCCACAGTGCCACTTCTAGCTTTTTTTTTTTTTTTTTGCTTATGTGGTGCTGAGAAGTCAAACCCAGGCCCACTGAGCCAACTTCCCAGCCCCCCGTAAGTCATTAAAAAAAAAAAAAACTTTAAAACTTTAGAAGGGTCAAGCATTTCTTCCCAACTAACACTGGATAAAACGGTGGAGAAATCTTGAATATTATTTTACTTGGTTCTGCTGAAGGATGTCAAAGTTAAGGATATAAATACACATAGAGGTAGATAAGACAAACACTCTGGCTAGCAGGAGTAGAAAACTTCTGAAGGAGTTGTGGGTTTTTGGTTGTTTCTAATTTCTAGAAATGACATTTTAAGTAGTAGGACAAAGGGGTTTCAATTCAACAAATCCATTCCTTTTTTTTCTTTTTCTTTTTTTTGTCAGTCGTGGGGCTTGAACTCTGGGCTTGGGCGCTGTCCCTCAGCTCTTCAGCTCAAAGCGAGCGCTCTACTGGTTGAGCCACAGCGCTACTTCTGGTTTTCTAGTGGTTTATTGGAGATAAGAGTCTCATGGACTTTCCTGCCGTGGCTGGCTTTGAACCTCAATACTCAAATCTCAGCCTCCTGAATAGCTAGGATTATAGGCATGAGCCACTGGCGCCCAACTCCATTCCATTTTTAACTGTTGTGATTATTAGATAAATTACATTCTAATGAGGACATTTTTCTTCCTTGTAATTTCTACCTGTTGATTCCCGTTCTTCTCTGTAAAGCCATGCAAAATTATAACTCATCGCTCTAGGCTGGCAACTCTTCGAGAGTTTGGAGATTCTTTCTGCCTTTCTGAGTCATTTCTCTAGACTCTGCTTGTATTCTTGTCTAGGGAGTCATCATCTTGATCACACTTGATGGATCTATTCCAGTTTAGAAACATGCCCTTTGTACTCCCAAAGAGAAAGAAAGGTTCTTAATTATAAAAGGAATACATGTTCCTTATAAATAGCTTAGAAACCATGAGATTTATAGAGGAAAAAAAATCCTCCATTTTTTCCAACAGAAAAAGATCATGATATTAAAACACAAGAAAAGTTCTCCAACCTACTTTTACTCACAATATTAATCACTGTGTTAATACCTCTTCATTTTAAAACAATTTTATCTTTAAGTAGTTGAACAAAAGAGGTACTTTTAAGCAGTTTATAAATACGGTGCATCTTGATCAGTTGCTCCTTCAACATTTTCACTCCCCTTCCACCCACTCCTTCCCTCTTCTTAATTTTGTGGTATAGACTGAATTCCTCACTGCATTCTCCCTCCCTTCCTACTTCACCTATCCCCTTCCCCCCCTTTTTTTTTGTCGGTTGTGGGGCTTGAACTCTGGGCCTGGGCACTGTCCCTTAGCTCTTCAGCTCAAGGCTAGTGTTCTACCACTTGAGCCACAACAGTACTTTTGGAGTCTCACGGACTTTAATTCACAAGAATGGCTGTCAGCCCCAAATTCCAGCTTTTTTTTTTTTTCAGTTCAGAGGACATCAAATTAAGCAGAATCAAATTAACCTTGGATCAGAGGAAAATCCATGCAGATCTGAGTGCTCTGGGATGGTCCCTTGTCTCTAACACAAAAGGAATCTGAGTAGGAATTTAGCACAGTCATAATGAATTCACCGTGCCTTCAAAAAGCACTCAGGGGGCCAGACACTGTGGCTCACATCTAGAATCCTAGCTACCCAGGAGTCTGAGATCTTAATTCAGAACCAGCCTGGGCAGATAAACTGAAGAGACTTAGATCCAAATAACTGGCAAAAATCCAAAAGTGGAGATATGCTTCAAGTGCTAGGGCACCACTGTGAGCAGAAAAGCTGAGCTAGTAAATGAAAGTGTCAAGAGTTCAAAGGGGGTGGGGTGGGGAGGGAAGATGGAGGGATGGAGGGATGGAAGGAGGGAGAGAAAAGAAAGAAAAGCATTCATGGGTAAGCTTTTCACTGAAATATTGATTCCCTTTACCTAAATGGTCCAATGTTTTTTTGTGTTTTTGGGTCTGGTCGTGGGCCCGAGCTCTGGGCCTGGGTGTTGTCCCTGAGCTCTTCAGCTCAAGGCTAGCGCTCTACCACTTGAGCCACAGCGCCACTTCCGGCTTTTTTCTTTTTGCTTATGTGGTGCTGAGGAATTGAACCCAGGGCCTCAAGCATGCAAGGCAAGTGTTCTACCACTGAGCCACCTTCCCAGCCCCTAAATGGTCCAATGGTTGGTTAGTGATTGACCCCAAAGCCCCAAAACTGGTATTGCCTCTAAAAGAAGCACCTTTGAGGAAGTACTGTTAAATGCACAATTGACCAGCCACTAACAAACTGCAGACAAAATTATTTGAAACAACATCTAAGTACAACCATAATCCTGGCTAAATAATTAAAATCTGCATTCCTTTTTGTTTCACATCAGTTTTCTCACAGTCCCTAAGCTGAAAAAAACCAGGGTATTCAAGTTTCTCAGAACCTCTCCTCCTAACTCCTTGGTAAAAAGGAGCTAGACTTCCAGAAGATTCTCTTTCCCTAACAAGATTCTGAACTAGTCTTGAAAATATCATGG